TTTGTGTTTATATGATTGTTTGTCAAGAGATTATTCAAATTGCAGGTTGTTGCGAGTGATTTTTGGACAATTGAGTTCAGTAAATTGAGCTGGGTTCGACGGAACCTATTTGCTGGATTACATCAAACCCAGATTTGATGGGTTTCGTCGAACTTCCGATGGGCAAAGAAGCAATTGTTAGTGGTGATGTGAGACCCATTTGGATGGATTTGGTGTGTTTTCGCCATATAGCATGTGACATTGCAAAAGTTTTATCCATGTCATCACTTTTTGAAGTTTTGCTCTCCACATCATCAAAAAAAATATAAAAAATGCCACCTAAGCAGAGTTAACGACCTAAATTAACAGAAGGACTAACGGAGTGCATTTGTATAGTTGAGGGATCAAAAAAGTGCAAAAAATTGTTAAGGGACCAAATTAAGCATTTAACCAAAAAAAGAAGGAATCTTATGCACTTATTTTCTAGAAGGTTTGGTACTACTAGTACTTGTGGCACGAAATAAATGTTAGGGATGAAAGTGTCCCGTGTTAGAAAGGTTAGGGACAAAGTGGGATTTTACTTACGGCTTACCTTCCTCCCTCCAAAATTCCATCTGTATCTTCTCTTCCTTGTTCATTGGCTCGGATATTTGCTTTGGATGCTGGCTATTGACTATCGCTGTAAGTACACTGTAAACCGCCGATATATCTATGGCGTATGCATAATCGTACTTCCTACTACATAGTAGAGGGGATATGACTCCCATCATTTATATTTCTAGCTGTGTTATGCTTTGTTCTTCTCTCAAGAATTGATTCTGTGGCATCGCGTAATGCTAAGAGAAAGCCAGACTGGATAGAAATTGGATAACCCATTTTCCAAATTCAATCAAAACTTTCCATTTTGTTCTCTTACGAGCTGGGTTTTATTGCCAGAAAGGAATGGTGTGAACTCTGTTTGTGAACTGTGAGCGCATAAGATGTTTGTGGAAATGCCTGAGTCATCATTGTAACCCTAAGGAAAGTCATTCTCGTGTTTTAATGTCTGTCGTGGGAAAGTGATTGTTGGTCTTGATGAACTGCAATTAGTACTGTCCTTTTTTTTTGGGGTGGTGGGGGTTGCCAAGAGGTTGTTATGTTATATATTAAGGCTTCTTCTTGCATTGTATTTGAGCTTCATTATATACGGATTCATTTCTGCATAAAAATGAAAGTTAGACATGGGTGATTTTTTATTAGGATTTTGCCTGCCGTTTTTGAAGAAGAAATTGGTTACTTAGATTTCTTGAGTTTTCTTATGTACCATCTCTCTGTGGCTGGTTTTAATGACATTATGTTAGAATTGATTTTTTTTTTCCTAATTTTCTGCTAGTCTGCATTAAAGTTCCATAATGTCTTATGTACCATCATTGCTTTCTATTTATCGGTTCTTTGAATCTTTTCAGTTGTTTGTTACTTTGTTTAACTCTTAGTTGCATGTAATACTTTTGCAGATTCTGGTTCTTATTGCCAACCTCCTAACTTGATCTTCAATTTTACAGAATTCATCCTCTTGGTTAATTTGCCAATCCATAATATTTGCTGACCTCATTTTGTGTCCATCCAGAAACCTTACTTATTTCCTGTGTCGTTAACTTCCCTCTAGACTCCAACCCTAGTTAAGAACTCAAATGTCACTTGTAACATCAGCATCCTTTTTAGCTCCCTCCTCACCTCTTAACCTTTTCAAAGAATACAATTCAAGATTCCATAGAAATGCTTTATCAATTCCTTTAGTTTCTATTCCTTGCAAATTTCCATGTTGTGTTACTCAAGATGACCATAAAACTTTGAGGAATAAAACCCATAGTATTCTTGCTAGAGATTCTATCAACTTCAACAGTCAGTCAGTCACAGAGGAAAATGCACTAACTTTTGATTGGGAAGATGAAGAAGATGTTGAAGACACAGGTTCACCATGGGAAGGGGCAATTATATACAAGAGAAACCCTTCAATCACACATGTGGAATACTGCACAACCTTAGAGAGACTCGGACTAGGAAAACTTTCAACCGAGGTCTCAAAGTCTAGGGCTTCAGTGATGGGATTACGTGTCACAAAAGCTGTTAAAGAGTATCCAGATGGAACACCTGTCCAGGTCTCCATTGACATTACAAAGAAGGAGCAGCTGTTGAGGCTTGATGGAATCATTAAAACTGTGATAACTCTTGGCTGCAATAGGTATGATTCTTTTTTTTTTTTTTTTAACAACTTGCCTAATCTGCTTTGAATCTTGCTTTTTGGTTATTGATCTCTGCTTTATTGCCTTGCCCCCTAACTAGGATTGATTCTAGTTTTATCTGTATCTGTATGCTAAAGGTGTGGTGAGCCTGCTGCTGAGAGCATTTTCTCCAACTTCTCACTTTTACTGAGTGAGGAGCCTGTTGAAGAACCAGAGATTATTGATATAGGAGCTATCTTTGGGAAAGAGAAATTTATTTCATCAGGAAGTAATGAGGAAGAAGAAGAAGGGGAAGATGATGATTGGTTAATTGATTGGGATGATCGGTTATACTTCCCTCCTGAAGAAAAAGAAATCGATATCTCAAAGCACATAAGAGACTTGGTACATTTGGAGATCACCATTACTGCAGTCTGTGATCCAATGTGCAAAGGTTTATGTCTCACTTGCGGTACAAATTTGAACACCAGTACCTGTAATTGTGGCAAAGAGGCAAAAGAGAAAGGTCACGGCTCCCTCAGAAGTTTAAAGAAGCAGATGCAGAAAAAAAAAATGATGTAAATTCTGATTCCCATTCGAAATTCCTTGGTTAAAGCAAATTCCTTTGCATCTGCTTGCTGTTGTTTTTACCTTACTGGGATGTAATTTTTGAGCTTTTTGGCTGATATTAATATTACATCCACCTTTGTTCTGTTTTGTTTTTTTTTTTCCTGTTTTTATTTTTATTTTTATTTGTTGTCCAAGTCTTAAGTGACTGATGAAGAAGAAAAAATAAAAAAATGAATAAATTGTGTAGTTTATATTATACAATATAAATTATTTTTTAATCTTGATTACATAATAAGAGATAATTATTTTTTATTTTTTATTATATTTCATCCGTATATTATATAATTTAAATTTAATATATTTTATTTTTAATAAAAAAAATTATTATTAAATTATTTAGATAATTAACGATATAAATTATTAAATAAGAGTGGATTAATATTGAACTTGTTTCTTTTATTTAATAATTTTTATTTTATTAGCACAACAAAATAGGAAATTGTTTTTAAATTTATTTCTTAAAAAAGTTACACATAGAACGAGTTTTCGTTTTTTAAGATCAATGGAGGATTTATTTATTTATTTTATTTTTGTAAAAGAGGAAGTGCCACCGTGGCAGGTGAAGAGATGTCACCTAACCAAAGTGGCCACGTCCTTCATCCCACGTGGAGCACACGTTGACGTCGGCAAGCAGCAACCCGAATGGACACGCATGGAAGGCGTCTTCCTTTTCCACGCAGCGTGCCACGTGAGCATACGTTTTTGTCTTTCATGTACCTGCGTCACACCTGATTAAACACGTTTTGGCTTTCGGCCCCAATTTAAAAACCCCGCATTTATAGATTCCAAAGAAAGAGAGAGAGAAGTCGCCGACGTCGCAAATAGTGAAATCGCACATTCTAAAACGGAAAAATCAAGAGGCGGCGGGCGGTGGCGGCGCTAGGGTTTTCGATCGACATGGTGAGTATTGTTCTAGCCTTTTTGCCTTTTTCAGAATTTTGTTTTCAATTTAATAGATAATTTATCTGCTTTCGTTTTTCCAGATTGCTGATATTTTCTGTTCATCATTTTCCCCTAATTTTAATTTTGCTAAAATTTTCAGTTCATTAGAAATCGATTTAACAATCTTTCGGAGGAAATGGAATTATTCGTGAATTATTTTTCCTAAAAATTTCGGCTCATTCTGTAGGATTCTTCCTCGATGAGAAGTGTTGTGTTGGCATTTATCGACAATCCTACTGTTTTGGTAAGTGGGGTTCTTCGTGCAAGCAGGGAGCTTGGAATTGGGCAGCAAGAACCTCAAACTATCAACCAGGCATCTCCTTCAGGTTTTTTTTTCCTAATCCTGTTTTGGTTTATTTTTTATTTTTTTAAATCTGATTCTGTATGACAAATGGTTCTTGTTTCTTGAATCCTTTAGGTGAGCTGCCACTGGATTCCACCTCTGTGGATAATGTGATTGCCGTCTGTGGGTCTGAATTTTCCAATGATAAGTTGTCTGAAGAAATTTATAGAGTTTTGAAGCCTGGTGGGACTGTCATCATTTTCAAGAATTTGCAGTCTGGGATTGGGGAAACAGATAAGGTAAATGTTAATGCAGTTTATTTTTTGTGAACATTGAGATGTGTAGGAGACTTATAACTTGATGGCTGTATTCTTCCAGGCTGTCTCTGCCCTTGAGAGGAAGTTACTATTGGCAGGGTTTTCAGAAGGACAACGTCTTCAGCTAGAATCTTCTGCTGAAGTTGATCAGATTTTTGGGGTTAGTTTTTCACCTATTGTTATCAATAATTTTTGTGATTAATTCTGTTGGATGAAATTGGCTGTGAGTAACAAGAAAGCCTGAACCAATTGCTTAAGGATTGATAAACAACAGAAGGGCCAATATATTCACTATCAGTTATGTTTTTCATGGTTGTTAACTTGTTTTATTAAGTTTGTGAAATAATGAATGACCTTCCAGGGGTAATGTTCAAGCAAATTATGTATGGATATTGGATTCAAATTTTGTTCTTTGAGAGCAGCATTGCTTCTTAAGGAAGTATCTTGATGCATTCTGGATCTGATTTAGTCCTACAGTTCTTCCTTTTTGTTGTTTTTAAATTTCAATAATATATGCTGAACTGGCACTTAGTTTAGTAGAGGCTAACCATTGAATTTGTGGGTCAATATTGTTTTAGGTTAAGGCTAAAAAGCCTTCTTGGAAAATTGGATCAGCATTTGCTATTAAGAAGGCTCCCAAAAGTTCATTGAAACTTCAGATAGATGAAGATTCAGATTTGATTGATGAAGATAGCCTCTTGACTGAAGAGGATTTGAAGAAACCCCAACTACCAACTGGTAAGATAGCAAGATCAAATGTTATGGTTTTTCTTTTTTACACTGCAGATAGTTTGTGACATTAATTAAGTGCAAATTTTTCTTCAGTTGGTGACTGTGAAGTAGGAAGCACAAGGAAAGCCTGCAAGAGCTGCACTTGTGGAAGAGCTGAGGCAGAAGAGAAAGGGCAAAAGCTAGAACTGACAATGGATCAGATAAACAATCCTCAGTCAGCTTGTGGCAATGTATGTATTGTTCTGTAATCTTTGCTTAGTTAATTAATATTTTTTAGTGCCTATCCTAGTGTCATGCAAGTACATTCTTGTAGGTGATTGTACATCCATTCAATATCTCTGTGCTCTAGGAGCCATTTAGGCTTTCTGTAACTGGTCTGTGGTGTACAATGGCAGATGTCATTTTTTTTTCCCTTTGTGTGTGGCTAGAGTAGAAGTGTACATTTCATGGGAACTGTTATGCACTGCTATTTCTTGTGTGTTCAAGTCCTTATGCTTTGATGTTTTTGGCAGTGTGGACTAGGTGATGCTTTCCGTTGTGGTACATGCCCCTACAAGGGTCTTCCACCATTTAAGCTGGGTGAAAAGGTATGATTTCCATTCCTCATACACACGAGAGAAAGTGTTTTTAATAATACATTCACATTTGATAACAATGTAAAACATAACTTAATTCTTCTTGCAGGTATCACTGCCTGGGAACTTTCTTGCAGCTGACATTTGAACTTGAAGGCTGATTTTTCACTGTTGAAGCTTTTCTTCTTAGATGCTACAGAAGCTCACAGGCTCAATCTTCCCTACCCTTTTTGGGTCGTTTCCTATAATTCACTGTTTCAGTTCCATATTCTGGCTTAGTGTGGTAAAGGAACTTGCATGTGGCTGTGTTTGATTAGATCAAGTCCGAGACTTTGGACTAAAAGCAAAAAATGTCATTGTGTGTGTGGTGGTGTTTCACTAATGAAATTCTAAAATAAGGAATTGTGTAGATTCTTGGAGATTTCCTCTGATTCCTTGCCCTATATTTCATAGCTAACTGATGGTATTGAAAATGATTTTGTATTAATACTATTCAAACATTGATAATCTATTACTGTTAGGCATATACATACAAATTTGGGAAGAGGCATCATGACATGGTAGATTATTGTTTGTCCAAGCTTCCACTTCACATCTTGGCCAAATAATCTGAAAGTGGTATATGCTTTATCTTATATTGTATTCCTCAGCTCAAGAAGTCTATACCATCTCTTCTCAAGTGAAGCAACATTCTGTCTTCCAACATCTGCCCAAAAAAATTTCTGACTTGAGATACTTGCACAAATTTCTACTGCCTAAACATGTTAGAGATCACTCACATTGCACGATAGGTTCAGATTTCTCACATGTCTCTGAGCAAGTGTCCTATACAATTATTAAAACTCAATTAGTATAAAAATCAACTGGGGCATTTCTCCCATATCATGTATATTTCACATACATACCCTGGTAAAGGTTGCAAGCCGGATCGTGTCCTGTATCAATGAATCAAGGTTTGCTTCATTACCTGGTTTCACATAGATAACCTGTAGAGTCCGATGCATTATTCCTTGTTAGTGAACTTGTTATGGGAAAATTCTTTTCAATTCAAACTAACAATAAAAATTATAAAAGTAAGTTCGAACTGAAAAATAAGAATTTCACTAGTTATTATACATGTAAAAAACATGTCATTTTCGTTCAAACAAGAAAATAAATGTAAAAAGGAAAAGAAAAGAAAAATGAGAGAGTTTAGTGACTTAATGAAGGATCATCGCCACCAATTTCAGGTAATTGGGCAGCATCATTGTCCCTACTTGAGGATAGAACCCAAACATTGAAGTTGGTATCAATCTGAAAAGCAATTAAGTATGAGTTTTAAATTAATCAGATACTGAATAACCAGCTCCCCAGAAAAAGATAATCCAAATAACAACAATACCATACCTCTCTGCAATATGGGGAAGAACAGTAGCTGCATTTTCTTGTGAAGGAGGTAATGATCCTTCCATCCACAGACAGACCAAAACTTGCATGCTGTAAAAACAGGACACTTGTTCAATATCAAAGATAAGGGAAGGAAAGGAAATGAGAAGAAGAAGAAGAGGACCTTTTGGATGCGGAGATTAATAGAAACTTGAGCATTTTTATGTTCATCTTCAACCAAGTCACTTAAGCGGAGGTCTTTGAGAGAGATGAGGAAGTCACAGCTCCAGTCTCCATCCCATCTCCCATCCTTCGTGGATATCGAGATTAAACGACGAGGACTCCTCGACGCTTTCTTCGTAATCTGCCAGCAACAGGGTCAAGGAACACATATGAGAAGAAGCAGAGTGATCAATAGTACACCATAATAAAAGAAAACAAACAAAGAAGAAACTGGTGTTACCAGAGAGAAGTCTTGCTTTCTGGGAGCAGAAGAATGTCTCGTTCTCAGAGTCTGAGAGTGCAGCTTATGGGATTTCTGCTTTGCTTGGATTAATGATTTTGGAATTTGGTTGATGTTTCTTACCAAATGCCTGGCTTCTGCCATTTCCGACTTCTTTTTTTCTTTTGAAAAAATGCAACTAAGTATGAATGTGTTTATTAGTTCATGCCCACATAACCTTATCTTTCCGAGGACAGATGGGGGGTTCTGTGTGTTCCCAATCCTTGTCCCTACAAACGACACAGGATATTTACTTTTAATTTCCTTGAGACATTTTTCTAACTCTTATCATTTATATTGCCCTTTTTTCTTTTCTTTTTTTGGTTTAAATCTAAAACATCTAATCTGAGTATTGACAGCGTCTTACACATTCATGAACATTTTTTACTATTTTTGGATAAAATTAATCTGTAACCATATAAACTTTAAAGATTTTTTTTTTTAAAAAAAATTACACCTGGCACCATTTCCCCTTTTTGATTCGACAACATGATTTTTTTTTCTTCGAACTGATGAGGTATTTTGTTGGAGGAAACTTTCTCTTCCAAAATTCTTCTAATTTTTTTAGAATATTATTTATGTATCCTTACACATTAATATTATAATAAAATAAGATAAAAGTAAGATTTTTTAACTTTTATTTTTTATATATAATTCTTAACTCATAAACTTTTATTTTTACACTTTTTGAGAGGAGAAAATTTTCCTTAACTGGATCCATTTGATAATTTTTTGTTTCAACTTTTTTTATATTAGTTTCTTATGAAATACTAAAAAATTAATAATCTAAAAAATTCTAACAAAATTTAATTACAACTTTTTACAATATTTTCCTAATTATTTTTCTAATAAAAACTTTTCTTATCAAATTCACCCTCCTATCCCTCCAACAGTCCAACCAAATAAGGGAACCCTGCTCAAGGATAGAGAGATGAGGTCCATTTGTTGTAATTGCACAAATCAGATCAACAATCTTCCTGTTTTAGATCAATAGCACCAATAACTTGCAAGGACTGAAAGTTTGATTTTAGAGTAAGTACACTAATGAGAAAAAATGTATATCACTTTTGACTTTTAAAAGTAATTTGAGTTTTAATTTTAAATTATATCTTTTTATTTAATTAAAATTTAATTTAAAATTTAAAAAATATTTTATTAATATATTAATATATTAAATTATATAATGAGTTTTTAAATTTTGATATCAACACTTAATAAAATGATATTTAAATTTTTAGATATAAATTAAAATTTAAATTATTTTTTAAGAGTTAAAATTAATATCCATTAATTTCTACTCTAATACTTTAAATCAACAATAATTTATTTCTAAAGCCAAGGTGAACTAAGGAACGTTTCAAAGTCGAAAAAATACCTTTCTCAAAGACTTTCAGGA